TAAATCTTAGCCGTCCAGCGACTCGCTCAAATACACATAAAAATTTTGATCAAAATTGGTCGGACCGTTTTCGAGTTTTTGCGAAACAAACGGACAGCAATTGATTTTCGTATATAGAGATTTTGTGTTCGTGTATCTAAATGATTTTTTAATAATTTAGAGGTTAACTAATATTGTGATAGTATTTTTTATTATTATATGCCAGCAGCTATGCAGGTCTAGGGAAAGAGACCAGTATCACTGCGACCTATAAGATCTATTGTGATCGCTGCTATGGCTATAGTTCACTGCCAGGCTCTATGTCTTCAATGAATAGAGGGAGTTGCTTAGCCGTGAGCAATTTCACTTCTTCTGGGCGGAGTAGATAGTTTCCCAGATGAGTGTTACGTTTGCGCATTAAGGGTCCGCAATCAGTTAGGATCTGTAGAGGCGTTTCTTCCGTTATGGAACAGAATCGACAAACATCCTTGAGTTGCTTAGTCCCAGGATGGACATGTGCTTTTTAAGACAACAGTGTCCATTTTGGACTCTTGCCAGAATGCGCAATTTATTTTTACTTAATCTTAGGGCTTCTGAGGCGAATTTACGTTCAAAAGCCCGGATTAAGGTTTTAGAATGTTTTAAGCCTGGTATGTCAGACCAGATCTTAAGTGATTTATTGTAATAAAGAAGAAGATTGTGATAGTAAGTACAAGTATGATAAGAGAATCAACCGTCTCTGGGTTACGGCGGTGTAACCATCTCATATAATATGCCAGATATGAAATATCTCGACAGAGAGCAGCGTCAGACATGCGAGACATCTAGACTAATGTCCTAAATCCGTCTAGCAAGCGGGGCACTAACGACAGATCTTTCCTGTCTATGGAAGATATCTACTACGACCAGCAGAAGATGAAGAAGTTTGTGATAATGAATAAGTGTGAATTTTGAAACAGCTTTTTGATTACTAATAGCGCGAAAAAACAAATTTGAATAAAAGTAAAGTAAAATGCATACATCTGTAACATCATGTTTATGTTATTTTATAATATTTCACATCAATTTTTTAACATTAGCAATGAAACGACTAAATATTTAGAGTGGCGTAACAAAATTCAAAATTTACTTGACATGAGGAGTGGGCAAGCTGACTTATGTAGACCGACATTCTATCTGGCCGCTGAAGGACATTTCGCTACTTAATACTTACTCTGTATTCTAATCTAGCTAACTTGAAGCAGTTTTGCAATAGATTTCTCGATCGTTTGCAGTATGATAATTTCAATTTTTAAATATTTGCACTTGGGGTCTGCGCAGACAACAGGCAGTCCACGGTGCACTCTTTCTATCTGTGCAAATGTACCAAATTAATTTATAACACACGTGGCATGCAAAATTTGACGCGGTCTAATTTCGACAAAAACTCCCAAATATTTCTTCTCGTTACGCGGGATTTCCTGTAAATAATATAACAATGCGTGCCATGATGTATTACTACAATACACACAATACATCATCAGTATTATAACGACCGAATAGCCGTACCGCGGCTATTACATATAATAGAATACTATTGAGAAAAGCCGCGAACTTTTCACATAATGCAATCTTTGGCGGACAAAAATCCAAACGATGTTTCTTGGTATTGGGTTTTACCATTCAAATTACTGAAAACTCTACTTTCTAGTTTAATGTGGATTAGCTCGTTACTTGAAGTAAATTCATTAAAATGTATGTAAGTAAATGACTTATTATATTGTTGCTTTTAATACAAAGTGAATATGGAGAAAGCACGTTCTATTTGATATAAATACATATAATATGAAAAACGCAATTCGCTTATATTTTTGTGGGTAAGTTACCTATAGTGAGTAAAAAATCAGGTGCCGAAAATTAGCACATACAATGCAAACATGTAAGCTTTATAATACTTTTAGTAGTTGACGTATGTATGAGCAGTTCAAGCTCCACCGCGCTCTCAACTTAATGCGGTTTAATTAGAGATGTTGTCACATGAATCATATATGAACCTTTCGATCGTTTAACTGTTGTGTTCTTTTCGCGGACGGGGAAACTGTTAGGATCGCTAGGATAGAAGTTGTGAAGACTGGAACATTGATTTATATTCATTCAAAGTAATAAAACTCATAGCATAATATAATGTCAGTTTTGCCGGTAGCTATGCTTATAATATAGATGAATTTTTTGAGGGCATTCGTTTTTAAAGGTCAATGCTAAATCGTTTTTGTTTCGACAAAGTTATTTCTTGTATTTCTTCCATTTATTATTTTAGTTGGATTAGTCATGATTTCGCAAACTTTATTGCAAGAGTGAAAGTACAAAGCTTTTCAACCCATAAAACCTTTGTGGCTTTGACGTGGAAATAACTTTGTTTAAAAATATCCTGTACATGTTATATGTTTTAACTTATAATCTTTATAACACGAGTATTGAAGTTGCAAAGCTATTTACAAATTGCGTCATTGAAAAGTTTCCTTTGTATAAATTTATGTGGGTCGCTTGCTACTTATGTACAATCTAAGTAAGTTAGTAAAGTTGTAGGTTTATAAAATGTATTGGATCATCTATAATTATCATAGGCCTAATCTAGCAATTTCAGTCTAATTACAATTATAAAATATTTTTAGAGTTTGTAGTTTCTCAAATTATTTAGTTAAATTCAATTTTATAAAACCCCATGATTTGTTTCGTATGTAGGTAGATCAAATATTTTATTTCTATAAAGTATTCTCTTTTTTATGATATATCAAGATGATTTCTTTTTTTGTATTCTCATAGCTTCTGTTAAATTCCAATCGACAAATCGAAAGTGAAAGTGCTGATACATCGGTAGATATAATTCTCGATAACTTTTCGAATACGATTATCTCACGATATAAAATATAGATTCCACTATAACCGGACTCTTGCTTTTATGAGCTAAATCATAAAACACATGAGTCGCTAGTGTGGTCAAAGCAATATGAGGATTTACTTCAAGGAGTATAAAGCCAAAGTGGTAAGTTATGTAACATAATAAAAATCATAACTAATTTCAGGTGTTTTATTCTCATGGTTCACCTGTAAAATGCTTGGAACCTTCTTCTAAAATAAATAAATAAGATGCTTACTTTATTGTGAACAAATATCTTCAACTTCTTTCTTCTTTCTTTGTCTGCCTATAATATGCGTCCCACTACTGGGCACCGGCCTCCTCTCATCTCTGAGAGGGTTTTAGGGCAAGGAAATGTCCGCCGCTCTGCCCCAGTGCATGTTTGCGAACTTAACATGTCTGCGAAATAATTTATTTTTATTATTTCTTTTACATGCAGGTTTCGTCACGATGTTTTACTTCACTGCCGAGCACGTGGTAAATCAGCACTTAAAATTGCAATTAACAATTTCATTGGTGCCGGCGGGGATCGAAGCCGGGTTGCTTGCGTACTGTGAATTTTACAGAGAGCGCTTAGGCCCTGAGCTATCACGGCTCTTGAACAAATATGTTTAAAAATATTTAGGTTACGTTTGCCCAAATGTTATCTGTTTTGATAATGATAGTTTGAATAAAATATTCATATTGGAATTATGGCGTGTATACAAATGCCGTGAAGTGACGTCGTAAGAGAATCCACACCCTAAATCGTGGAAGTTGTACCCCTGCTCCCAAGATAGGCAAATATTCTTCTTATAAATCAATTTTAAAGGGGAGGCCTAAGTTCAGGCTTTTGATAGGATTTAATGATGAATGATGTTGATATATAATATATATATATATATATATATATATATATATATATATATATATATCAAACGATATATTCCCCATTTTAGCTTCCCTGTATCAACCCTTAACGACACCTACGAGCCGATATGAGGTAGTGGATATTTTTACGCCGCAACTAAACGATATATTTTACGAAATGCCTAGAAGTATATTCTTTCGGTAAAACAAAGTCAGCACCACTGTTAGGACTAATAAAGGTTACTCACTTTGGCTTTCATATGTTACATGAATAAAAATGAATATGCAATCGCTTTCATGACCGCCTCCATAGAAGTCGGCATAATGCTTTAATCAGACTGAAATTTCTTAACATAACAATTACAAATGTTTTATAACAAAAAACCTAACTTCTAAGAGTCATATAGATAGATACATACAAAGAAAAAGAAATCAGTTTGCATTTGTGAACTACAATTAAAACTTTAGGTATATTGTAAGTAAGACTATATCATATATTATCGTGATGCGCACGTGTTTTTTTGCAAACTTTTAAAAAAAGGCTCTCAATTGGACTGTATGCTGTTTTTTCGTATGTTATGCAATATCTTTGTCAATTGTGAGCCGATTTTCGTAATTATTTTTTAATAAGCTTCTGGGGTGGGCCCTGTCCATTTGAAAATGTTCTGTTGCAAGTTTCTGATGTTTAGACGATATTTGAGTTTGTGACATTCCTTTGTGAGTTGACCTCAGAAGGGGTCAAAAAGTAAAACTTTTAGGAAAAATTAAAAGCCGAATTCAAAGACCAACGGATTATATTCAATATAATATATTTACATTTTGCGCGCAGTAATGGAAACAGGAAAGTGGTGTTTTTTAACTTGACGAAAATAGTCTATTAAATGCAAGAGACAAGTTGTCAAATGTTGCAAAATACGTACATTAAACACACTATAAATTAGTTACAACGTGCCCCAACGATATGATTTTTGAACATTCATCATCGTTATTATCATTACAGACCTTCATAAGTCTACTGCTGAAGCTGAACATAGGCTTGGTAGCCCGAGGAATGCCACAAAGCGCGGTCCAAAATTACCTTAAATTAATAAAAGAATAAATGTAATATATATTTAAAACATACTATACTATATTATGTTATTGTCTTTTATGTGTAATGGCATCGTAGGTAAATCCACTACCTCTTATCATCCCGTGCGTGTCGTAAGAGGTGCCAAGGGGAAACGAAACAGTTACCTCGCTTATTCAAATATTTTAACAAATTTAAATCTTCCAGCGCACAAAGGCTCCAGAATGTACACCTCCGTCTCGTCGGGTGCAGCCATCTGCCCGTACACCCGGCACACCGAAGCGCCCTGGCGTAGCTTCGGTCGCAAACAATGGAGATGGTAAGTTTCTTTTATTACACAGGATCGTACGTATTTATAAAAAGAATAACGGAATGAGGAAGAAAAATACTATATATGGTTCCAGAATGTGTCTGGATCACGTAGTTTTGTGATTTGTTACACTTTTTACATATGTGTAAATATTGATATTTACGTGCTAGAGCCATGCTGCAGTTATATTAGTAGTATAGTTGTAGCACGAATGGTTCGGATTTCTACTCGAGGTTATATGTAGATGCCTATGGGCTGCAGCAACTACTTACCATCAGGTGGACTTTGTGCTTGTTTGTCACCCTTTTTCTTTAAAAAAATTCAATATGAAAGAAGTGTATCAAAAATGAAGACATAATCCTCTTAATTCCTTGTTTATAAACATCACTATTTTTTTTTTGTGCCCGAAGCAAATATGGGCAACCCTCCGGAAAGCGGGGGAGAGAGGCGGTGAATGCTCATAGCATACCACGCAGCCGGCTGCGTGGTTATGTGGAGACTTTTACCCACTAAACACCGCCTTTTAGGGACTGGCTTAACGGTCTAAATGGAGATCTCTAAGCCGTATACGAACGCGACCCTACTTGGCAGAAAGGAAGGCGCAAACATCACTATTAATAGTTTTCTTTTACCGAATATTCATCTTTTCTTAATTTTTGTGATTCACACAAAATTTTAAATAGCAAGTAAAAACGCTGTCAGCTTAACAGTTAAATGATTATTTCCGTTTATTTGTAAATCGTCATTTCATGAATTTCTATTTAATATGTTTTTAATAAAATTGACAAGACATCAAATTGAGTTTAAAGAAGTTTCGGATGTATAAATGTGCAGATTTCGTAAAAAGTTCTTGAGATTACAAGTTGAAAGGTTAAACTGGTAAAAAATGTTACAAATATTTGGACGTCCTTACAATAGAATTATACGTGGTAGAGCCATGCTGCAGTTATATTAGTAGTATAGTTGTAGCACGAATAGGGTCGAGGACTCGACCGGGGAAGGACCACGCTCTCACAGAATACCAGCGTGAAATAGTAGCTTAATGCTGCTGTATTTCGTATGGTGAGTGTAGAGAACCGGAGACCCTTTTTACTGGAAACGAGGCATTCCATCTTAGTCCTCACGGGTGACAACGCATCTGCATTTTGATTTGTAATCGAGGATAGATGTAGATGTCTATGGGCCGCAGCAACCACTTACCATCAGATGGACTGTGTGCTCGTTTGTCACCCTATCCTATAAAAAATAATAGAAATTCTTCGCAAGCTTATGGATTTGGTTTATTATCTCATTTCTAGTTAAGTAATATAACTAAAAGTAAACCTTTTACGAAAGTGGCTTATGGATTTGTGTTTATCTTTTCCAATATTAAGAATATTAAATTTGTCATAATTAGTTTTTTAAGTTTTTAACTTTAAGGGTAAGGCCTTAGTGGAGAGCGTTCGGCGAAACGGAGGGCTAGGAGTGGATGACCAACATACGCACTTCTATAGATATTGTCCTAAGTAGCGATCAGCCGTGTAGTTGCGGCCTGAGAGAATCCATTACCTCAAATCACTCCGTGTCTCATAAGAGGTGACGGAGGAAAGTAAACAGCAAACAACAGTTGAAACATTTACTTGGTAACGGTTCAAAATAATTTAAAACTGTGGTTGCTAGCCCGAAAACTATGGGAAATATCCCCCATATTAGGCGATCTATCGTGGACACCTATGTATAACGTCCCGTCGAATGAATTTGAAAGGATAAAGGATATCACAAGTTCAAGGTTTTTAGTTATCACTAGAATGTAGAATGGCGTCAAAATATTTATGTCAAAAATTACCAATTCCTTGTCTATTGAAGCCTTAATTTTTTACTTCAGAATTCCTTAGGTTAATTTTGATATGACTATTTTGACATTGAACTTATGATATCCTAAGTCCACTCAATGGGGTGAAAAATTAAGCTTTTAATAAAAACTAAAAAATGACTTTAAAAACTAAAGGACAAAACAATTTCAACAGCCTCTGAATTCGGGGCTTTAATGATTCGATAGTCTATAATATGTGAAAATTATTTTATACTTTCTAGTTTTTGAAATCAGTTTTTACTTTTTATTCAAAATTAAATTTTTGTACTTATACAAGGTGGTCAGATAGACGTCGTTCTGCCCTTTCCGACGACCCTTCCTATGAAAAAGCCTTAATTTCGCAATAAATAATATCAAGGACTTATCGGAATAAAAGTTATCCTATCTCTCAAGTTGGACCAAACTGCACACGAGTTGCAAATTTGATGAAAATCGGTTGAGTAGTTTAGGAGTACATCGCGGACAAACAACGTGACACGTAATTTGTGTATATTAAGATATTGAAGTTGAATTTAAAAGTGCTAAATCATTAAAACCTACGTATGTTCCTGTTGCTGGTCCCAGTTTTCTACTTGTCGTCTTTATTTCACATGTTCCTTGTCGTTGCTTATTTTTTGCTACCTCACGCAATTTGCTGTAACAGTACGATCGAAATATGTCTTATTTTGGTGACATAATGGATACCTTTTAATCTGTCCGTAAACATTTCTTTGGCTAGAAACGTCCTTTTTTCAATGCTCATGATCGAATCAAAAAGCAGATGCGTTGTCATCCGTGAGGACCCTTCCTAGTAGATTTTCCGTTCACTATGCAAAAATGGAAGAAACCCTCGTACCGGTGCCTCTTACTTAGCCTATGTTCAGCAGTGGACTTTGAAGGGCTGTAATATGATGAATGATGATGCCTTAATGATAATCCCAAAACTAACTCAGTTATTTTCAAGCACAGCTTTCGAAACTTCTACTTAGACTGTATCCGAATGGTGTAAATCCTATAACCAGGTTGATTGCGTCTGTGCGTACACATCATAGAGCTAAAAACCGCTGCACAATCGGAGATGCCTAAACGATTACCGGGATTGCGCCGACCTCGACGGTGCCATCCCTTAGTTTGTGTCTCCGATAGTTATTGGTCTTAATAACCTTATCCTGTATCGCATAGACTAAACTTTTATTAATTAAAGTTACCGAACTACTTTTTTATATACATCTATTTAAAAAAAATTATATACCTCTATATATTTCGAGGGCAATGGATAAACTATTTTGTGTGTTATATGAGAAAATTAAGCACAGATTACAATACAGGTGCTTACCTATATAATTTTCAGGACTCAATAAAACACTTTTTTCAGAGTTAAATTAATATTTTAGCTACACATCACTCATGGAATGCAATTTTATGTTTAAAACATATTTTTTTCATCAGGTATCAATTTAAAATGTCTCTAAATTGTGTGAGTGAAACGAAGTCAAGAAAACGAATTTTTAATAGATATAAAATTAATATAAGAGTTATAAAGTTATAGCATATATAGGTACGCCCTACAGCTGGGCATAGGCCTCCTCTCATTCCTGAGAAGGCTCAGAGCAAGAAAATGTCCAATGCGTGTTATCGGAACTCACATATCTAAATTTTTTAAGGTATGTGTAATGTGTGTAATGTATGTGTATATGTAAATTTCTCATACGTGCAGGTTTCCCCGCGCTGTTTTCCTTTACCGCCGAATTAAAAAATTTATAAGTGCCCCCGAGAATAGAATTCCGTACCGTAAAATTTTTAATTTGGTTTAGTTGCTACAATCTTCACAAAACATACTTTTTACTTTACTATCATATTTTTACTACTATGTATACTTAACTATTATATGTAATTGTTACGGTCTAGCAAGGTGCGTAGGTGTATGGATGTAAAGGTGGCGTGGTGGTATTATAATTTTTTATGTAATCGAATATTAGTTATTTATGAATTATCATGGAAATTATTTCTAATCTTTAAAACTTTTTTTATAACCACAGTGTGTATGATTTTTTTAGTTTTCATGTTTCTAGCATGCATACGATGAAGAATATTTTCTCTAGAAATAACGTATAAAATGGACGATCTAAAAATGTTTTATTAGAAAAAGAAACTGCTATTTGCATTTCAACGGCAATATTCCAGCTACTAGCTACTTACCAGGTATGCAGCAACCGAGCGGAGTGGAGCCCGTGTAGGCAATGTGAATAATTTAGGCGCAGTCCTGCTACAGGCAGTGTTTAGCTAAAATATTATCGAGGTGACTTGTGCTCTCACAAGCACTTGCGGTATATGGGACAAGGTTGTTTGTCCGTTGCATTATTTCTGGCTCTAAGCATTTCTGTCTGAAATTTCTTGTTACATCGCCGAGTACCACTGCAAAATTACGATTGTCGTTTTCTATACATACCTTACATGCCTACCTTACCTATACTCCCGGGACGCATGAACTATCTACATACAGTTCATTAAGTTTATACTTTATCATTAGTTTTATACGACAACCTCGGGGCGCAAGTCCTGTTCGCATTTGTCCGGTGTTTTATACAAATAACTAAATAACATGTAATTCACTTTACGTTCATTGGCGGCTTTTTGGTACTGAAAACGTTTTTTATTTAATATAAAAGTAAAAGTTACACCTTATTTTTATATTATATTTTCCAATGTTGAGCGCAGGCCTCTTCGCATTCTTGTGTATGTTTTAGGGCAAGATAGTGTCCGCCACACGGCGCGGTCACAAAGCTAGTTGGCGGACTTTACGTCTTCGATTTATATAGTATATATATGTACTTTTCTTTACCTAATACATATATCCTTCGATACCGCCGAGCACACAGTGAATACTATCTAATGTCCCGTTAAGGTTCATAAAGTAGATCTAAAATTTTTAGACCTAAAAAAACCTGAACAAAGATATGTAACTAAAATTGCTGTGATAACAGTATTTCATCATAATCATCAATTGATCTTTTAAAGACTTCTACTTTATACATATATATCTTTCTCATTATTTGCACTACTTGAAATATTTGTTAGTTTTGTTATTATCAGCACAGATACTCGCACTGGTTATGTCGCTTCCCATTGTTTTCATTCGTCTGAAGTAGGCAGTCTCAGTCGCCAAAACTTTATCTGTTCATCGACAGGGTGAACTGCACGCAGATGACGTTGGTAATTAGTCCTTGCATCGTCCATCCATTACAGCCCATAAAAGTGCACTGCTTTACATGGTCCTCCCCATAGATTGCCTCATAGATAAGCTTTTGCCACAGTTGGCAAACTTGGCGAGCGGATTGGCAATCGTACTGTTTGATTATTGTGAATTGTTATCAAGAAAATGCTGCTGCCCATTTCCTGTATCAATTTCCTTCTGTCGCCTCTTACGTTACCCACGCGACGGAGTGGGGGTAGTGGATATTCTTAAACTGCCACTACCCGGTTAATTACTCTTGCTATCCCACGTAATGATTATTTTACGGCAATAAACACTGTCGTAAAGAACTATTAGTGAATTGATCAAAGAAAGAACATAAAATATAAATCAATCGATAAAGCCCTTTTTAGTTTATCTTGGTACATCTTTCCTAAGGGTTCTTAAAAATACGATTATCCTAAATACATATAGCGGATTTACATATAGTAGGATTTTGAACAAGAAATAATAAATCATAATTCACGGTTAGACAGGGCACGTTCAAAGATTTTGTATCTTGAGTAAAATTCGAAAATATTGCATAAAAATGAAAATAATGTGTGACTTTTATAAATTGTATATATTGGTAGAATTGACAGTATATTTTTTAAATGAAATAATAGAAGAAATAATAAAACGAATTAATATAATTCAAACGTCTTTGTTGCCTTCTTTGTTTGAATGTTGGCTGCAGGTGTCCATGGACTGCAGTAGCCACCATCCACCACCATCAGGTGGACGGTAAGTTAGTTTGTCACTACAGTTTTATATATAAAAATGCTATTTGATAATATATTACATTACGTATACAGTGTAAACGGCCAAAGTAACGGCCTTTATTTTCCTTTGACGTTTGTTTTAAGGTAATTTGCAATTAATTGAAATTTGTTTTTATTACTTTTTTGGATATGAATTCAGTTTGCTTATAAGTAAGTAATTAAATCTCTGTATCACTAATGTGACATACGAGCTGTCCGATACAGTCAACCTGGGGGTTTACAGCTGCGGCAGCTAAAGGATATCTGCAATTCAGTTTCGAATATCTTTGCGCCTTGTATAATATGAATAAAGGTTAAACAATTTTAGTTTTTCTTATTATTAATAATGTATTTATTATTTTATGTAAAGGTCTTTTCATCTTGTAAATAATATTATATTATCAATATGAAAGGAACGAGTATATTTATCTAGATCTATGGTAGGATGTTCTTCAATCACGCTTCCACGGCTGAATGGTTGCTAAAGTTTTGCTTGGCAACAGATATTAGGTAAATAGCCTGAAAAAAAAACCTGTAGACTAGACGATAGTCGGCTAGAAATGGAATCATACTCCTACAAAAATTTATTTGAGATTGCGA